GTGTGTGTGTGTGTGTGTGTGTGTGTGTGTGTGAGACATAGAGGAAAGAGGAAGTTGTGTGCAGTTGAAAGGCTTTCTCCCCTCTGTAGGGTTGCAGAGCAGCAGCGGCGGCGCGGAGGAAAGAACGAGAGACGCAGACGACAGAGGAGACGCTCACTGGACATCCTGCAGAAGCAGGAAGACGGCAAAGGTCAAAGGAGAGAGAGGCGCTTCATTGATGAGCTCGCATTCAGGCACTGGACACTTTCCAGATTCAAGTTAGATTGAGTCTGTGCTGCTAATTTCAGTAGTTGCTGTGAGGAGAGTTAGTGTTGGGTTTGTAGTTTAACGCCGGGATCATGGACGCATCAGGAAGGTTTTAGGTCACCGAAGGTCACCCGAGGGCCGTCAGCACTGCTATTGAGGTGAGTTTGGAGATGGAGTTGTGGAGACAGTGTGCCGGATGGCTGATTCAGTGCCGAGTGCTTCCCGAGAACCACAGAGTCACCTGGGACAACACACAGGTGAGCGCTTACCAAGAATCAGCTTTTTCAAACACTAGGACACTTTCAATGCTTAGGCCAGTTTTTCAAGACTCTTGACACGGTTCTCCTGACCAGCTTTCAGATTGGCACAACATTTAAAGGGATAGTCCACTCACAAATGAGCATTTTGTCATCATTAATTAATCCTCAAGCTGTCCCAAACCTGTTTGAGTTTATTTCTTCTGTTGAGTACAGAAGGAGATTTTTTGAAGAATGTTGTAGTCATTGACTTCCATAGTAGTTTTTCCATTGTGTTCAAAAGAAGAAATGAACTCAAACAGGTTTGGAACAGCTTGAGGATGAATAAATGATGACACAGTCACAAACACTTCATACAGTCTCAAATCAGGTCATTTTCCCATTACTTTCACCCAACAAACACACTTTATTATCACTCATAAAACAATGACCTAAAACACCAGCAACAGATAGCATTATTCAACGTTTTCTTCTGTAAATGTTCTTTACAAAGCAAGAAATAAACTCTAGAATTCACTGCAGTATCCATGTTTACATTACAGCACAAAATTATTCCTTTATTTTCACCTTTTGTATAGATGGTAATGAAATTAAAACACTAACACCTGTGTATGACGTACAAATTATTTTTGGAAGATTACTGAAGTAGATAAAGTTTCTAACAATTTCTTAGTGAAAATAGTTTCTACGCCATTTTTTCAGTGTAGGTGTTCAGCTACATCTCTGTGTTTAATTATTTAGATCTGGGATGTATTTTCAATATTCTATTACTGTAGAAATGTAGCAAATGTGCTGTCTTGTTATGCTAGATTTTGAACTTGCGTTTTGAAAAGAGTTTGTAAACGTGCAAATTCGCCTGTAGGCCAACTCATTGAGTTTTGGTAGTTTTTGTGTCTGAGTGAGAAAAGAGTTCAATTCAGATGTTTGTATTTTGTGCCAAAGCAATGATAAATAATCCACAGCTCAGCCCACAAAGATGCTGATTTGTGAAAAGTTTTGAGAAACGGGTCACAGCGATTCATAGACCTGATGGTCATGCTGACTGCCGGATCAGTACTGTGAATATCTGTCTGTCAGAAGTGATCTGTAGTTTGTCTGTCTGAATGTGTTTCGTGTGTGTTTGACAGGTGTGTGATCTGGCCCATGCTCTGAGAGATGGAGTATTACTCTGTCAGCTGCTCAATAACCTGCTGCCGCAGTCGGTCAACCTGCGTCAGATTAACCTGCGACCCCAGATGTCTCAGGTACAGAGAGAGAGAGTATCTGTGTGATATGGAAATCACCTGATTACCATCACCAGCTGCTGATCTTAATGGCAAATGAGTGTGTGTGTGTGTGTGTGTGTGTGTGTGTGTGAGAGAGAGAGAGAGAGAGAGACAGACAGACAGAGAGAGAAAGCAAAAGTCCAAGCTAAACTTGGCAAACACTGTGGTCACTGCCAGTGTTTAATGGAAACCTCGGCTGTCACACACACACACACACACACACACAGACAGATTTGAGAAAGTTTAATGTGTGTGTTGCTGATAAGTTTACAGCACTTGTTTCATGTACAGTCTTACATTGCACTTCCTTATTCTCGGCTTAACTTCCTCCTACACACTCACACACACACACAAACACACACACGCGACTCAGGAAGTACTTTAAATGCAGATGTATACGCTGTTTCTGCATTTGCTCGGTGTCTCACACAGTTTTACTATGACTGTCTCAGCTGTAGACAGTCTGTCGTATATTGAGTAATGTAAACTCACAATATGTGATACAACATCTCTGTATGTCTTTCTGTCTATCATTCGCAGAGCTGGATAATTTATTACACATTATCTGGATTAGGCAATTAGATTCCAAAGATTAAGTACTTGTAATTAGATTATATTACATTTTAAAGTGCCCATAATCAGATTACAGTTACTTTTTTACAGTTTACATGATTACATATCATTTACACAATAGCAGTAAATTATTCATAAATTACTGATTTGCCCTTATTCTTATTTTTTGTTTCTTAAATGTTCCTTTCTAAAAATCCTACTGCTTATATACACTCAGAAAGTCTTACGAATCTATCGTTCATTCATTCATTATTTCTATCTATCTATCTATCTATCTATCTGTCTGTCTGTCTGTCTGTGCGAATGATTAATCGTGTGTGTGTGTGTGTGTGTGTGTGTGTAGTTCTTGTGTCTGAAGAACATCAGGACGTTCCTGTGTGCCTGTCAGGAGAAATTCGGTATGAAGAAGAACGAGCTTTTCGAGGCCTTTGACCTGTTTGACGTCCGGGACTTTGCGAAGGTCTGAACTCTGAGAGAGTGATTGATGTGTGATTACTGTGATGATGATAATGTCACGCTAACGAA